CTTGGCGGGTTCTAGCAAATAGGCGTTGGGCCATATTAGACACAGAACCTGCACACTGAACACTAAGAGCCAGAGAGTCCTTAACAGCCAACTCATCAGACCGTTTGGAAAGTAGTCTGTTATCTTTGGGAGTGAGAAGGTTCCTGGCCACCACTGCAGCGGTCATATCATTCTTCATCACAGAATCCCCAACGGTAAGAGGACCAGTAGGGGATATGAAGGATGGGCGCCATATGTTGTCTGGAGAAGGCGTGGCTGTCTCTTCTCCAAGGTTCAAGTCAAAACGACGGTCGGAGGGTCCAGACATTTTCAAATGTGTTGAAGAAGGAAGAAGAGGTCAGACAAATCAAGATCTTAGAAGTGCAAGAAATGAGCTTCTACTGGTAGAGATTCAAGTGTGCTGTGGAACTTAATGCCAGCCTCTATAAAAATCTGCACTCGACGGAGCTTCAGAAATCGAAGAGGCGTTTGCTTTCTCAAAAGCTGGGCTGCTCAGAGACCACGAGGGCCGATCTCAGAAATCGAAGAGGCGTTTGCTTTCTCAAAAGCTGGGCTGCTCAGAGACCACGAGGGCCGATCTCAGAAATCGAAGAAGCACCTGCTTTTTCAGCCTCGTCAGCACCTGTCACATGCACACTCAGCTTTGCGGAAATTACGGGCAATCTGTCGAAGATTTTCTGGTGAAGTAGAAAGCACGTGAATCTTACTGTTCAATCACCGCTCTCCATATGCACCATCAACTCCTCGGGTACCACATATAACTTTGTCAAAGATCTCTGACAAAGTTTAGGCACGAGAATTTCGAAGTTCCAGCTACCCTACTATTACCCATAAGGGTAAAGGAACAGCACCACTGCTTGACAACTGGAAAGTCCCTATGTGTGTCGACCTCCGTGTTTTGCGGCAAGACAGGTTGGCAAGAACGTCCAACCTTTACTCACATTCGAGAAAAGACTCCCAACATAATTACTTTCTCAAAAACCGGAGTAGCACCGCTTTCCGAATCTCGAGAGTCAGATCCTCGACGGGATTGCTTGTTCGAAAACCGAAGAGGCACAACTCTCAGAACTTCGAGAGCCAGATTTCCTTAGATAAAGCTTGTCTGTAATCTTCACACGTAATATCAGCTTTCCAGATACCACATACCACTTTTTCAAAGTGCTCTGACAAAATTAAAACACGTGAAGCTGGCAGCTCCCACTACATTGCTGTGACCAAGAAAGGGTAAAGGAATAGCATTACTACTTGTTATTGGGAAATCCCTATATACATTGACCTCCCTCCTCAACGGACAGGCAAAACCTGCAAAAATGCTCAACCCTTTCTCGCATTCGAAAAGGCACCCTCAACATAACCTCTCGAAATACTCAGCTTTATTTCCCCCCGATAATACCTCAGCAAATAAGCCACACCAAGAACAAGAGTATCTCATATCATCAGGGTCGAAAGCAAGAGTATCCCATATCATGCTTTCTCCCTGTCTTTGTCTTTGTCCTTGTCCACACCTGCAGGACAAGGAGAAAGAGAGCAGTCAGTCGGAACCTGAAATCAAACCTCCAATTTGGAACTGACTGCCTGGAGCCTTTGCCTGGTTGCTTACTTAGCATTGCTCTCGAGTACTCATCCTCAACTGCTGTCAAGGTCACGAATTCCACCGGCAAATACCTCATGACAGTTGATCAGATATTGGCTCTTTACACTGAAGCTGCCAAGCGTGGATGAGTCACTATGAAGGAATGTTCTGAAGGACCATTTAAATGCAAAGGTTGCACACCACTTCTGCCATGCAAAAGATTGAAGCAGAAGGTTCAACGGTGGGCTGAAACAGATCACTACAGCACGACACCTTTCCATACCACATTCATTATTCCGTCAACAGCAAAAGTATCCCATATCATCAAGGTCGAACGTACTCTAGATTTGATGGACTTGTTTTGACCCTCAAATTTTTGAGTCGGCCTTATACTCTGAAGGGCACCAGAAAACCCTCCAGCACAGTTCAAGAATAAGCCTGTGGAAAGTTACTTCTTCAAAAGCAAAAGTATCTCATATCATCTCTTATCCATTTGCTTCTCCTTATCCTGGCAGTTGAATGAGAGACAAGGAGAATGAGAACAATCAACCGGAAGCCGAAGTCAAACCTCTGATCCTGGGTTGCTTACTTGGAAGTTTGACTGCTTACCTTGTCTGTCACCTCTTTCGGCAGATCTCCTAGCTCGGCGACTTGGGGGACTCCTACTATAGGGTTTGTATCGCACTTGACCAAGCCCGAAACTACAAGTAAGCTTCAAGTGAAATTGATACATTACCTTGTGCGTCAACATCAGCTAAATACACCATTCCCGGATGGAGGAAAGGTACTTCCAGAGAAGGGCAGATGAAGATCAGACCACACTTCGGTACTTAGAAGTTTCGTGATTACTCAAGGGATTGGATCTTGCAAGTCCCCAACCGAGGAGTTTCCCTCACTCGGGAACTTAGGGGAGCACTGTTTGTACCATACTTGACCAATCCCGAAACTACCGAGCACCGGCCAACGCTATACTGTCAAGGACCCAGAAGAGTTCCCCTCCGACCAGGAGGCCAATCACTACTCGACACGTGTCAAGATTAGAAGCCAATCAGAGCGCAGCACGTGTCGACATCAAGAACCAATCACAACATGACACATGTCAATGTGACAAAGCTACAAGTTTTTCTATAAATAGGGGTCATTCCCCCACAATATTGCCTAATGCCATTTGTGTTAAATCATTCACAAGAACTCACTAAATTGAGAGCTTGATCCTTTGTACTTGTGTAAGCCCTTCACTACTAATAAGAACTCCTCTACTCCGTGGACGTAGCCAATCTGGGTGAACCACGTACATCCTGTGTTTGCTTCTCTGTCTCTATTCATTTACGTACTTATCCTCACTAGTGACCGAAGCAACCAAGCGAAGGTCACAAAACCTGACACTTTCTGTTGTACCAAAGTCTTCGCTGATTTTGTGCATCAACAAGATAAATTTATAATAATTTCTAACCACACGATGTACGATGAACATATGTGATTGGAAGATCCCTAAGATCCTCATAAAAAGAATTGGGTGAGAATCCTCCTGGGTGTGCGTTTGAGGTTGAAGATATGACAGGTTATTTGGATCAAGACAGAGGGGAAGGTGTATCTTCATTTTCCTTGGGTGTAATCCCCAAGCATAGTTAGAGGGTGACGGCTACAGTGATGTCTAGTGAGCGCCCCATCTTTCTTAATACAGAGAGGAACTTACGTAAAATGGTACATCGTTAGTGCAGCGTCTGCTTAAAAGGATCTTAAGTTATGAAGGATTTTTATCGTAAATGGTCTTGAAAATCTAACTAAACTATTAAGATGTTCTATGAAATAGAAAATAGATCAATGTAATCCTTAAAAATAAATATTACAAATCAATGTGGTCATTTGGTCACAATTTTGTGAAAAATACTGTTATATATGTTAATGTGACACATAAATGGATTCCAAAAGATTTAAGGGCTTTTACCACAAGTGATCCTTGAAATTAACCTACACCATCAAAAGTTTCGCTAAAATTGATAATCGAACAATGTACTTCTTGAAATGAGTGTCGCAAATCAATGTGATCCTTTCGTCACATTTTTGTCAAAAATTCTGTTCTATGCTGATGTGGGTTTAATAATTAATTAAAAAAAGTTGTTAAAATACTTTTGTACATAGAGAGATTATCTCAAGGCAGAGCTTGGCGTTCTCTGTGTCATCAAGATCACCGGGGAAGCGCCTAACAAGCTCTCCAAGATTAAGGTTGTGAGGTTGTCGTTCTCATAAATGTTAACGGTGATGTCACTTAAGTTGTCGGCAATCCAAACCTCACTCGTCACCAAAGTTGGTCTCAATCTTAGTCAAATTCGGTGAATGGTGTAAGATGGTGTCTTGAGAATTTAATTTTTTTTAGACAAGAGACGGCAAAGGCTATCATAGATGGAGGTAGATGAGTGTGGGCTGGGATCAGAGGTGATTGCGGGACTGGGATTCAAAGTTAACAACTTTTTTAATAAATTATTATACATATTCCTAATTTATTTTTATAATTTGACTTGTGGGATCCATTTATGTATCACATCAACATATAATAATATTTTTAACAAAATTGTGATAGAATGACCACATTGATTTGAGACACCTATTTATAGGACTAATTGATCGATTTTCAATTTCAGGGACTATCTTGATGGTGTAGATCAATTTCAGGAGTCATTTGTGATTAAAACTGACTTGTGTACTCATTTATGTGTCACATTAGCACATAACAGAATTTTTGACAAAATTGTGATGGAAGGACCATTCTACTTTATGTGAAAATGGTTACCACACTCACCCTTTAGAAAAATACATGGGATATTATTTCCCACGAATATTCTTTACGTACATCAATTAGAGTGATTTTGATCATGACATTAATGTGAGTGGTTTTTTGTCGCATATTGACTATTGGTAGCACAACTCTTTCACTTAAGGATTTTGATGATTTGAATTTAATTAAAAGCTTTTCACACATATGTACAATTTGTAGGGGTGGAATTTTTTCCCGAAAATCCCGAAAATCCCGATCCCATCCCGAAATTAGCCCGAAAAATTCCCGAACCGAATTTCCCAAAACATTTGGTACCCGAAACTGATCCCTACCCAAAAGTTTCGGTTTGGGATTCGGCCACAGCTTTGAAAGCTTTCGGGAATCCCGAATCGAACCGAATATTATATTTATTTATTTTTAATTTTTAATTAAAAATTACTTGAACCGTTGGATTTGTTAAAATCTAATCCAACCGTCCATAGTTAGGTCATTTGTTTGTTAGGTTATCAGACTCTCTCAGTCGCTCTCTCTCTCACTTCACTGGCTCACTCACACACACTCTCACTCTCAAAGTCACTCTCACAGTCCCCCCGCTCCACTCCTCTGTCGAATCTACGCCGCTCCTCGTCCATCACTCCATTGACTCATGCCGCTCCACTCCTCCGTCGAATCCATGTCGGTCCTCGTCGTCCATTGACTCACGCCGCTTCTCCATCGACTCACACTCACACACTCGAATCCGACACCAATCGAGTCCCAAAATCCAGGTTAGTAGGCCCAGAAGCTTTCCCAGTTGCATGCAACTCTTCATCTCTGTGCCTCGAGAGATTTCTTCACTGATTAGCACAACAAATATCACAGAGAGAGAGAGAGTGGGAGTGTGTAAGAGAGAGAGAGAGAGAATGAGAAAGAATCAATTTCGAGCAGTCCTAATCATCTTCTTGTTTTTCTTCGTCTTCAGTATCTGTGATGCACTATACGGACCATCATCGCCAGTTCTTCAGCTAACTCCTTCCAACTTCAAGTCCAAGGTAAACGTTGAAACTTTACCAGTAATTGGGTGTACCCTTTTCAGATTCTTTAGTTTTTTGCATTAAATCTATTGGAATTTGTCACCGTTTGGATTGAAAAGCACTTGGGCTTCAATTTCAAACACGTTTTACTCATTCATGTGGATGTTAAGTTTTAATTTGTTTTTGCTTTCTCCGGTCCATTTTTCATTTGGCATGCCCTGCCATTTTTCATTTTCAATCCAGCAAATATTTTCATTTTTGCATGCCCTGCTATTTGGCAGCAAATATTTTTCTCTTTGCATGCCCTGCAACGATTGTGAAGACTTGGTTAGTGTGATACTTAATTTTGGCAATTTGATTTTGTATTCAGGTAAGATTTTAAAGCAGCTATCAGAGATAACTAGCAGGGAGGTTCTAACTTATTTAAATTCATTCGGAAGTTTGGTTTGTAACTTAATTTAAATTCATTTGGAAGTTTGGTTTGTAAAACTTAATTTATTTCATTTTGGTTGCATGCACTTTTAATTAACTAATTTGTTAGACAATTGTGAACTTAAGCTTAACTTGTTAGTTGTTGCTTCCTTGGTATAAAAATTGAAACAGGTGTGATATTGAGAATCTGTGATATTGTGATGAAATTGAAATAGGTGGGCTGTGCAGCCTGTGCTTGTGCGGGCAGTGGCTGGTTGCAATTGCTAATTGTAACCCTTTTTTTTTTTTTTTTTTTTAATGAAAAAAGGGTGGGCTTACCCTTTAAAGGGTGGGCTTACTCTTTAAAAGCCCAACATTTTGGGCTTCAAATTGAAAAAAGCTTAAAATTGTAAAAAGTTATAAAAGCCCAACATTTTGGGCTTCAAGGCCCAATCCTAAAGTTACCCGAAAATCCCGAAACACTTTCGGGAATCCCGAATTTCGGGATATGAATAGTTTTGGTTCGGTTTCGGGATATAAAATCTCATCCCGAAATGTTTTGGTTTGGGAATCGGGTTCCGGGTTTCGGTTTGGGATCCCGACCCGAACCAGCCCTAACAATTTGAGTGTAATTAAGTGCTTTTCACATGTAAGCGCTTGATAGTGTAGAGAAAAACTCAACTTACTTTATAATGCTATAGGAATTTTACAACTAATTAAGAATTAATTAGAGCAAGTGGATAGATGATGATTTATTTTCTCCATTTAAGCACTTGAAGTAATGTTTTTTTTTGGTCGAAAAAGTAACATTCATTATAGAGAAAAAAGGGTTGCACGGGTCCAACACAAAAGAAGGCAACCCCAAACACAATGGGGGGTCCCAAGTACATTTAAAACCTAGCCCAACAAGCAGAAAGACAACAAAAAAAAAACAAAAACGCAAAAAAACAAAAATAAAAACCTTAATCTATTTTCCATTGGCAGAAAACAAATGTTGCAGCCATCACAAATGACTTGTCAGCTACCAAGGCAAGCACACTAGAGAAAACAATCGAGTGGTCAATTCAACAAGGCATCACAGCACACTGTAGAAAATCTGCAACTAGAAGTACAGCACAACCAAATTTCGTCACTAGATATGCCTAATTAGGAGAAAGCCATCGGACCCGAACCACCTTCACCAACCCCTGTAAGTATATGCAAACACAATAACATGTGGAAATGAGTGAGGCTAAGGAGGTATGTGAAATAGCCTTGCTTTGACAGAAGTCGCAACACACTCGGCCTCGAGGAAATCTGGTATGCCAGTCGAGGGTAGCGAAGGAAGAAATTGGAGCTGTCATCCATCTTCGATTCATCACTCGTAGACCTCAACAAAGGTTGTGGTGGTGATGATTTGATTAGAATATTCCGTGCGTATTAACTAAATAGTTAATTAGAAAGAAAAAAAATACGCACCATTTATAAAAAAAAACTCTTCTAGTGTTAAAAAGGCAACTAATGTCCCATAATACTCCCGCCTTCTCGTACTCCGCCCACAAACGTCTCCTTCGGTTGCCGTTTTGAGAGTCGGTAGCATGCTTCCTCAACGTTCATCGCTTGTTTTTGTTGTTTTCATTTCTTTAATTTTCCGCCCATCCTTTCTTCATGCAGTTTCTTTTCAAACCCAAACAACCATCATCATCCCAGTAAAGGTTTCCACACTTCACCTTTTCGTTCATAAGACAACTCCAATCAGCCACCACACGCATGTACTTAGTAGATAAAAAACGAAACTAAAGCACATCGTTGTGAAAGTTCATGGTTTCCACACCCTTAACCTAGAGATAGGGATCCATATAAAAAAATGGCATATATATATATATATATATATATATATATATATATATATATATATATTGATGTAATTATACATGAAAACCTAATTAAAGTTGATTAACTTGCTAACACTTCATTACAACTTGATACGACAATAACGTACAAATTTTCATTATTCACCTTATAATGTGCCTCTACGTTAATATATGTCAATATGTTACTTGTAAAAGATGAATGAGGTTATAGACCTATATATACAGATAGGGTAAGGTGCGGTTTGACCTCCTGAATTATCACCCCAGTTGAAATTGACCCTTGAACTATTTTTTTGGTAAATTAAATCCCTAAACTATTTAAAAATCAGTTAATTAACCCCTCGTTGTAAGATTGCGAAATCAATTCCGTCAAATTTAAGGGCAAATTAGTCATTTCATCATTAATTGTTACTTGTCAGCTATAACCACTAATAAAATTTTGACACATGGACACAAAATAATTTAAAAATATATAGCATACTGAGAAAACATAAAAAACCAAACGTTTACATAATGGACCATCTCACATTGTCATTACACATTATTTTGTTTTCATATGTCATAATTACATTGTTTGTTATAGTTGACAAGTAAGAATTGATGAAGGAAAGACCAATTTTCCATTGAATTTGACGAAACATTGGATGAAATCTACTGACAAAGGGTCAATTGACTTATTTTAAATAGTTAATGGGGTTAATTTACCAAAAAAATAGTCAGGTGTCAATGTCAACTTGAGTAATAGTTCAAAATGTCAAATGACAGTTTACCCAGATCTATAAATATCTGTGTGTGTGTGATGACCAAACAACACGATGAGCGCTTGTTATAAGCAACATCCATGCAACTTCCAAGAAGGAGACGAAACTCTCCACAAAACGATAAGCGCTGCGCCTGCCCCTTTGGCATTTTTTGATTTCTGTGGCTGTAGCTAGTTAGCCATCGATTCAATTGGTTGGCTGCTTCTTCGCTTTCCTGGAAATCCTCCCTCCCTTTCCTCCTTTCGCTTTTTGTCTAATTGCTAGCCACTTTCAAACTACGTACGAATATGCATGATGATCAACTGCACCAATATCAACTTTTTGTTTTCATCTAGTACTAGGCTACTAGCTACTTCGTACAATAATGTACATGTATTTATCAATGGGTATCTATGATCAGTTCCTGTTGCGATGGAAATTCATATATTGGTGATGAAATTTAGACTTATATAATATCCAATCCACTGTCACGCATGATATAAGTACGGCACGCATGTTCTGTTTGCGTATATATATGTCCAGTTGTGTTAGGGTTTGGAATGTTAGCATAGAATTAACAAACACCAAGACCAAAACATGAACTATAACCACAGAGAGAACCAACCGATTATGTGTATACAAGAAACCAGGAAGGAAAACATACCTGCAGTAGCACCAGAACTCGAAGCCATCGCAGCAAGCTTTTAGTGATCCTTCTCTTCTCTTGCAGATTATCAAGAGCTCGACTCACAGATAGGTTTCGGTCCAATATGAGCATTAGTTGGTTGAGAAGAGAGGCCACTATATATATACATATAGACTTTACCAAAATAGATTAGGATTTCCTATCAAAATCCTCATAGGAAACAAATACTTGTTTCCGTGTCCTGCAATCTGATCTCAATGCTATACAAAATCCTTCTTTGTCAAGGATTAGCATTCCTTTCATCAACAAGACTTTCTATCAAAATTGAATACCTATAAGTGGTCCTAAAACTTCTCTATCTCATACTCATATTCTTACATTCTCCCACTAAAGTATGAGAACAGTTTCAAGCACTCAGTTTATTCAATCATACTCATATAGAAGTGATCACTAAGTCTGTTAACAAAAGTTTTCAATCACAACCAATCTCACATACATTTCAAAATGTAGAACTCTAAAACTTTATTACAACCATAATGCAAAACAGTTTTCAAGAGTTACATACATTCAATTTGCATCTTTATCATTGTGAACTCGATCAATATGAGCAAAAGGATTTGCTCCCACTATATCACAACATTGTTAGCAAGAATTCAAAATAAATAATTGCCTTAAACAATGCATGATATGATAATTCAACAACAACTGCTTAAACAGACAAACTGTCATAAAGGCATCAAATGAACTATCTCAAATTTTATTTCTCAAAACAATAGACCATTATAACAAGTCTCAATTCAAAAATAAAATAAACCAATCAAAACTAGCTAATTAAATACTAGCTTTAAGCTTTATTGAAAAACATAAAATCTGTTTTCATCACTGCACCAGCTCTCTGAACTTCACAACAGCAACCAACAGTCAATATGCAACAATAGATCACTCCCACCGATCAAATGATTCAAGAACCCCCATCTGTGCAACATGAGCTTTAAATACCCCAATAGGAAACGCCTTGGTCAAAGGATCTGCTATCATCACATCAGTACTCAAATGCTCCACTTGTATAGCTCATTCCTGAACTTTTTCTCGAACCTTAAGAAACTTCACATCCATCAATCTAGAAGCTGAAGTTATTCTATTATTCTTAGCAAAAAATACTGCAGAGTTATTATCACAATACATCTTAACAGGCCTTTGCACAAAATCAACAATTCTTAAATCAGTCAAGAAATTTCTTAGTCATATAACTTGTTTCATCCCTTCAAAACAAGCTATAAACTTTGCCTCCATAGTAGAAGTGGCAATTGTAGTTTGTTTTGCACTTTTCCATGAAATTGCACCAGTCCAAAGCATAAATACATAGTTACCAGTGGATTTTTTGTCATCTACATCACCAGCTAAATCCGAATCATTATAACCAACTAGCTCTAGATTATCTTCTATGCCATAAACCAACATATACCCCTTGGTTCTTTGCAAGTACCTCAAAACCGTCTTTGCAACCACCCAATGAGGCTTTCTTGGATTTGCTTGAAATCTACCCAACATTCCTACTATGAAACCTATGTTTGGTCTCGTGCAAATGGTAGTATACATCAAACTACCTACCAAAGAGGCATAAGGCTTGTTCTTCATTTTATCTACCTCTATGGATGTCTTGGGACACTGCGCTTTGGAGAATTTATCTCCCTTATTCATAGGCACTTCACCATTATTACACTTTTCCATATTAAATCTCAAGAGTACTCTTTCTATAAAACCCTTTTGTGATAGTCCAAGTGTCCTTTTGGACATGTCTCGAATGATCTCAATGCCAAGCACATAGTGTGCTTATCCAAGGTTCTTCATCTCGAAGTTCTTGCTAAGTATGGCCTTGGTATCATTGAGGAGCTTCACATTAGAACTTGCTAGTAGGATATCATCAACATACAATACCAAAATAATAAAGCTTGAACCCGACCACTTAATGTATATGCAATCATCCAATTTGATTTCCACAAAACCATGCTTTGTAACAACTT